TGGCTCTACAGACCGATGCGTTACCGGTGGACCACCCTGTATAAATTCTGTTTGAAATTATAAAATAAATATTTCAAAAATTACTAAATATTGAAAACTCTTTTTAAACCCTTTAAGAGAGAATAAATATAATGAAAAATTGAAAACAAGTCCCGTGCTAAGCGTCAAATCCACTTATTCGTATTTTATGCATTCGTATTTTATGCATACCGTCTTTACCAATTCGGCTATCGGAACATTATATGTCCGATTATCGAGTAGTAAATTTGAATATAAGATTTTAATCCAACTCAGTGACAAAAACGTTCCAATTTTTCAGAAAACTTCTAATTCATAGCAATCATAACTAATAAATCTTTATCAAAAACTGATACAGCCAGTTGCAGGAACATTTATTAAACTGTGTATTAGACTGTGAATAATTTGAGTTTCATATCTTTCAATACTATAAAATATCAAAAACCTAATCTCAAATCATCCGAGCTCGCTGCAACAACAAGAAATAAACTAATTATTTTTTCTTCTTTAACTTTGCCCATTTTACGTAATATCAGTATAAAACATGAAATCCGGACCACCCTGTATCTTCAATGTGTCATCGTAACAATCTTCAAATTATATTTTTACATTTATGTACTCATTTTTAACAAAAAAAATTTGAGAAAAATAAATAACACTAAAATTTTTACACTATATCGCTTAAACTTAATTTACATTAAATTGTTAAATATACACAGTTCTCTTCAGATAAAATACACGGCGGATATTTATCACTTTACAAAAATTTCCCCCGGTAATATCACTTTCCTAAAACACATCCATTAAATAGATTTTAATACTGTTCGTTTTTATTATTTTTTTTTTATTATTCCTACTACTTTTTTATTTTTTCTCCACCACGACGCCTAACGATTTCTTTACTTATCATCTAACCATATCTCACAAAGTTTATACATACATAAACATGAACACATTATTGATCTGAGTGGCCGCAGACCAGGCGGTAAAAGAATTATGTTATTTAAAAAGTTTTTCGTTTTAATTATGCATGTTTTGAAACCTTGAAAGATGAAAAACAATACATATTACGATTTTTAATTACCTAAATTGTTAGCCGTGTCGTTCTTTGAATTTTAATTTGTTCAAAGCATCAAATAAATGTTTTTAAACATGTTTTTTATTATATAGGTATTACAAAGGGTGGCGCATTAAATAATTAAAAGAACCCCCGTTTTTAACAAAAAGAAATCGGACATTGTAGTAAAGAATTATCGCTAAACATACATAAAAAAATATATTCCGAGAAATTGAGTACCTTTTTTTTTAAATCATGATTTCTATACTTTCCTAGGAAAGTAAAAATTTATTAATATTTATGATCTGTCACAGTTTTAAGTTCTGAATCGTTCTATATACAGGATGTTCTTTAAGTATGTGTCTTAAACTCAAGGAACGATTTTTGTGTGATGCTTAGATGAAAAGTCCACAAAAGTTTCATTTTCAAGATATAGGGTGTTTTAAAAAATCGTTTTTTTTTTGTAATATGAATACCTTTTAGCCGATTTTCTTGAAATTTAGCAATAGTAGTTTGTGCAACAAGAGTGAATATGATGGCCTTATCGCACGAAGACGAAACCAATCGTCTTAGTGCGATGTGGACAATCCACTCCAGTTGTATAGTATAGGCAAAAGAATCGATTATTAATCGATTAGTAGATTAATTTTTTTAGACTAATCGACTATTTCGATTAATGGAGTATTTTCAATTAATCGATAATTTTTAAATAATCGATTATTTTAGTATAATCGATTATTTTCGATTAATCGATTATTTTTGAATAATAGATTATTTTTGAATGATCAATTATTTTCGATTAATCGATTATTTTTGATTAATCGATTAGTTTCGATTAATCGATAATTTTTTAATAATCGATCATTTAGATTAATCAATTATTTTAGATAATGGAACATTTTCAATTAATCGATTATTTTTTATTAGTCGATTATTTTCGATTTATCAATTATTTTTAAATAATCGATTATTTGTGGTTATTCGATTATTTTTGATTAATCGATTATTTTGAATTAATTCATTACTTTTGATTAATCAGTTTTCGATAATCGATTATTTCAGATTAATCGATTAGTTTTAATTAATCTATTTTTGATTAATCGATCATTTTTGAATGATCGATAATTTTAGATTGTTCGATTATTTTCGATTAATCTATAATTTTTGAATAATCGATAATTTTATATTAATCTAATAGTTTCAATTAATCGATTATTGTTGATTAGTCGATTATTTTCGATTAATAGATCATTTTCGATTAATCGATTATTTTCAATTTATCGATTATTTGTAAATAATCGATTATTTGTGGTTACTCGATTATGATTATTTTCGATTTTTGATTAATCAGTTATTTCAAATAATCGATTATTTCGCCTATTTCAAATAATACATTATTTCGATTAGTCGATTATTTCGATTAATCGTATATTTCGGTTAATCGATTATTTTCAATAATTGATCATATCAATCAATTATTTAGATTAATTGTTGACAATAATTGATTACTTCAATTAATCGATTATTTTTATTAATCTATTATTTTGGTAAATTGCGAGTAATCTAAATCTAAAATAGATATTTCAATTAATCGATTATTTTGAATAATCGATTATTTTATATAGTTCTATTAATCGTTTATTTCAATTATTCGATTATTTTGATTAATCGATTATTTTCTATTAATCGATTATTTTATGTACCTTTTTTATTTTTAAAATTTTAAATAAACGAATTGTTCTTTCTTTCATGGGTTTCAAAATGCATACTAATAATTTTGCTTGACCTTTAGGTAATAGGGTATATCGAAAATAAATACATAAATCAATAACTTATAAAAAGCAATATCAAATATCTTTTTCCAATTTTATCCATGTAATTTTGATTATCCCTAATGTCAGCTGCAGTGACAAGCTCGTCCGTAAACAAAGCTTTCAAAAAGTTTTATATTGCGACGTTTTTCATTTGCATTTTAATTAAACTATGAATACCTAACCATACATTATTTTAATTTTTAGTAGTAGTATGTTAACATATACAGTGCGTTGATAAAGTAAAAATTATTGTTTTTAAATAGGCGCTTTTAGACGTCATCCCTAATTTATTAGTAAAGCTTTCTGACATTAAATTGTGTTTAACAGTGACATAGAATCGATTTTTTTTTATATTTGGTAGATGAATAAAGCAATAACTTTGATAGATAATTAAATACCCTTTCAAATGAGCTATCAGTCGACTCTTCGGTTGCTATTTAAAATATCCAGTTGATATTTAAACTAAACGGAAGGTTTTTACCCGTTCAAGCATCCATCTGCTTCCCCCTGAAGGATTTCGGCAGACTCCCCTCAATCTAGCTTTGGGTCTAGTCTGCTTTGCCTTCTTTTTTGGTGTTTGTATAGCTGCATTGAACCGCATATGGCCTATTGTGCCACCAGTTGGATGCCCTACTCCTTCTCATTCATCGTCATTCTTTCCACATCGTCGATGGTTAACCACTTAGTCCAGCGGTCATTCATCCACGACGTGACCGTATACATCTCTGCTTAACTGCCGCAAGAACGTGAATGCGCACTAGTCAAAGGGACCACTTGAGTAAGCAAGGACAATGGCCATGTTCACCGTCGTTAAACGTATTGTACTAATGTGTAATCAGTGACGATTACACATGTCAACCGCTTCACTGCTTTTAGAATCATGTCTAATCATAAATAGATTATGGTTTTACGCTTCAAAATCATAAAGTTGATCTTGAACCTATCAATGATTCTTAGCATTTTGTTAGGTTATGTGTATCTTTATATGTTTTGCCTCGTTTTGATTAAAAGAAATGGATATTCGTTATGAAAATGGTAGTGATTGGTCATTATTTGCTTGTAATTAAAAGAAATTAGATCAAATTAATTCAAATTTAAAATTTGAGGTTAAGACAACAAAGTATAAACAAAACGATTTTACAGCGTCAGCTCAACTGATTATAAATAGCACATTTGAACGCAAGAACTGGGTTGGAAGCGTTTCTGCTTTACTCAAGTCCAGGGTAAGATTCTGTTACCTATAAGGTAACTCCTTTCTATATATTTTTCAAATTTATTGAAAGGTTTATACTATTATCTTCAAGGTGACACCTTTTTGTTACATCTTTGGAAAACGCTGTAAAAGATATCGACGGAGCAGATAAATTATCGTACTCATCTTTTTTCAAATATAATTTTTTTTATATTCCAACTACTTAGTGACATTTTTATCGTTGTTATTCACATTTTAAAAAATTGTCAATAATAATCGTACCTTTGAAAATAGAATAGTTCCAGGATTTTTATAAAAGTCCATCAGCAGATAAAATAATTAATTATCAATATATACTCTATCAATACACTGTATAATTATTTATTACCAGCTACAGTCATTAAATCAATCAAATATACATCCCCGTTCTATAACCTTTCAAGATATTTGATACCACTAATTGTATTAAAAATAACCCTAAACCACGTACACCCACTGCGTCATTTATATTCAGATTATATTTTAAGGTCAAGATCGATGAAAAGGACCTTATATTCGTCATGCGAAGAATCTGAAACTCGGAAATGTAAACCAAGGACTCGATAATATGCCGGAATTGTAAAAATGATTGATACGAGTTTGACCTAATAATAATAGCTGTTGAATATAAACCAAGGCTTCGTCGGTTGACTTAAAGCAACAAATGCACGTACAAAATATAAACCTTCTCTATTATTTGCTATAGAAAGGATATTTGATAGCTTTGTTCCTTTTTAGTTCAATATCGAACTATCTTGAATTTATTTTTTCTTATTTTATAAAAGAAGGCATAAATTATCCACCTATAAAAAAAAACTTATTTTTAAAGTTGTGACGAAAAGTAGAAATATATATTGCACATCATTTGGAGTCGATATTTCTCAGCAAAGATTATTTATCGTCATAAATTTGGTCCTTCGAGCCGGATTCAATTTTTTTATGAGTGGATAATTTGTACTTTTTTTACAAAATAAGAAAAAATAAACAAAACAAAAAAATATTGCCACTATTTTCGCTTCACATTCTCTCTGAATTTGACAAATCAATCAGATGTAGTTAAAAGTTTGTTTTCTTTTTTATAAAATCTATTACAAATATGGCTGTCTTAGAAGCTAAATTTTGTTCCACCTTTGCTGGTTCTTCCGATGGAACAAAAACGTTCTATTTACAGTTATTAAAAGTTCATTAGCATCGATCCTGTCCTATTCGCAATCGAACCACTATCGCCTACTCTAACTTTTTTTAATTAGAATTTGGCCGCTGAATGACGGATTTGTCAAATTCGCTCTACATTCTAACAACATTTGGAAGATATAAAACGGTAATCAAACTTCGCACGGTACGGTAGGCATTTCAGCCAGACTTAATTTCACTACAGTCACCTCTTTGCGTCAAGCTGGCGTCGCGGCGCCGGAATTACAGGATACTACAGGTACAGTTTGGCTAGCCATGTTCGCCAGGTTGTTGGCTACGATGTTGCCGATGCCGCAGCCTTTCAGTTCGGTGAAGATTTCCGTGAAGTAGCCTGGTTCGGCATTTATTCTCAGCATGCTAGATGAGAGCCTATTAAAAAGTTGGTTAAATTAGTTATGAAACAGAAATGTCTATCAATATTAATTTAATAAACGTACATTATTAGGATGTAGTCATAACAATAAGAGCTGACATTTAGTTGTCAGAGTTTTAAAGTCAGTCGTTAGAATGTAATAAACTGATAGTGAGAATTAAAGTTGTAAATATGGGGACTCTCCAAGTTTAATCATTATTATGCAACCATTAAATAGAATACAATTGTAAATACGAAATATATGGCGCAGTCAGTAGGATTACATTGACTTACAATAGGATCTACAAACAGACACGTACATTGAGATAAACTAAAGTTGTAAAATTAAGAATAATAATCATGCACAGTAATATAATGATCTGGTAATAGAGATCTGATAAAAACAGACTGTGATAGAGCATTTTTATCAAAAACTGGATCTCTAAAATACTTGATTGCATTTATTATTTTCTTCATTTAAAAAATGGAGCTTTTAGGATGTGGATAAGGAAAAGGCCACAGTAATCACAACAAGAAGAGCTAACTCTTGACACTCGACAGAGATGACTGTCATAACAGGGTTATTAACCACATACTTTGATTACTATACGAGGCAAGAGAGAGGTCCGACACGCCCAACATAGGGCGCGGCCATTTTGAACCCTGTGACACAGTTTACAGCTAAAGAATCAGATCGCTCACTCTGCGTCGGCACTTTTGATTTCAATGTTTCAGTTTATACACTGTGCAATTCGGATAATACAATATATGACAACCGCCTATAATAAAACAGCAGTCTTCTGCGTATCCTGAATTTGTATCCCTGGAGTGGATGTTATTTTGGAACTTTCAACTTGTCCGAGTGAGCTAACTGATTCTTTAGCAATAAACTGTGACTTCAAAAATAATATTCACTGACACTGACAGCAGCAAGCAAAATATCAGGTGCGTTTTAATCATCCGCTTCTGCTTCCGGAATTGTAGGTTTAGTCGTTTTAACCTGTCAGATTAAAACAAGAAAACCGACAATTCCGAAGCAGAAGTGGATGATTAAAACGCACCTATTAAAAATATTGCGCCAAGATGTAGGCAACACGTAATAAGGGTTCAAAATGGCGGAGTTTTCTATCTCCTTTTAAAAGGCACTCAGAAAGCTGCGCAGTGCGACTATTCTCCGTATAGTAAAAGAAAATCAAAGTATGTGGTTATTAAAGTGGGTATTTCAAAATGATGATGCTTCTGAAAACAGACAGGAGTTAGTTATCCCAAAAACTAAAGTAACCAAAGTATTTTGTAAAAAGAAACAATGACATGTAGTTAGGTGCAATATAAGGTGACTATAAACAATACGGACACAAAAATTTTCACTATTTCCACTATATTCTTAATGAAAATGATACTACTTGTTATTTTTGGCAAAACCAAAATAACCAAAGTTAATACAAAAATATTGTGTATTAATCAGAAAATAAACCATTTTTTTATATAACCTCAATTTTCTCAAAAAAACCTCTATTATTATCTATAGCCACATTGCCAATTTTTTAAGTGCCTGTATTTGATAAAATATTAATTAAACTTAAAATAAAACTATTAAAATTATACTTGCATTATTTTGGAGTAATAGTACGCCTAGTATATTTCTAACTAACTTATATCGATATAACTTGATTTATTTCATAAAAATTTTATACAAAACGCTTTTTTTAAATCTATTAGATTTCAAAAAATAAAAAAGTTATCTGACACAAAAACGCACTCGACTTTCTACATCTCAACTACCTTGGAAGAGAACGCGCTTGGCCGACGTTTGTCCTTTTTACATTTACACCCATAAGTCCGGGACTATACATAGTGTTTTACCGGGAGCGTTTAGTGGAACCCGTTTGGCGGGGCAGGTACAACACATTGTTTTAAATGGCGCCGTTTACACACCTGCTGTTCTGCCGCATTTAAAACAATGTGTTGTACCTGTCCTGCCAAACGAATCCCGCTAAAACGCTCCCGGTAAAACGGTATATATAGTCCTGGACTAAGAGCACGCTACGCTTGTCCTGTCCTAACCTAACCTAACCTAACCTAACCTAACCTAACCTAACCTAACCTAACCTAACCTAACCTAACCTAACCTAACCTAACCTAACCTAACCTAACATAACCTAACCTAACCTAATCTAACATAACATAACATAACCTAACCTAACCTAACCTAACCTAATCTAACCTAACCAAACATAACCTAACCTAATCTAACCTAACCAAACATAACCTAACCGCTACAGAAAAGAGCGAGACTTCCATGTTCCCACCTATATCATAAGAGCAAGTTACGTTCATCCCACTCACGTCCTAACCACTACAGAAGACAGCGAGTGATGTCAATAAGGTGTGAAAAGACTGACTTATGGTGTAGGTGTAAAAAGGGCGGGCACGGCTAGGCGCGTTGATTCTTCCTCTAGTGGTAAGACCGTTGTTGGGACAAGCGTAGCTGATTATTATGAAAGGTGTGAAAAGGGCACCCTCGCTTTGCTTGCTCTTTCATCTAGTGGTAAGCCTATTGGTAGAACGCGCCCAGCTGGCTCTTATGGTGTAGGTGTAAAAGGGAGCACCCGCTTCGCTCGCTCCTGCCTCTAGGGGTAAGGCCGTTGGTGGAACGAGCATATCTGGCTGTTATGGTGTAAGTGTAAAAAGGATGAGCACAAATTTCAAAACATCAGCCAAACGTGCTCGCTTCTAAGGTAGTTGTGACGTGCTTTCATGGTGTAGGTATGCCAGGAAACGTTTTTATTTTATTTATATTTATTTAAATAAGTCATCAATGTAAGTCAGAAATATATCGGATGCACCATTAATCCAAAATAACGAATGATGGCTAATGGCTAATAAAATTAGCACAATGTTATTTTATTCTTTTGTAATTTATGAATACTGGTCAACCCAGTATATTTCTTATTAAGCACGAAGGCGCATTTCTTATTAACTTATACTGATAACTTGTTTTATTTCATGAAACTTTAATCAAAACTTTTTTTGGAAACTTATCAGGAAGGTACATGTGAATAAGTTAAGTTACTTTTTGTTCACTCTGTATATAAATTTCGATTTTAACTTGTCAAATTTCTTAAATATGAGTTCATTTAAAAGATGTTTAGATAACATGGCCATAGTATTTAAATTTATTACCTTCTATTTGCCTATTTATTTAATTCTATAATTTTCAGATGAGTTAAATTTCCTCTCTGGTAAAATGATCTTTTGAATATCTGAAATCTTTTTTATTTTAAAAATAAATAAAATAAAACGTAATTTAAAAATAAGGTGTATTAATGTACGTTTTAAATGGGACGGCTGAAAGTTTTCAGGGGTGACGTCACGCCACGCCGGACTCAGTAGAAATTAAATGAATACGGCATTCCTCTTTAGTTGATATAGTCACTGACTTTGGTTTAAAAACTTTTGAATAACCCAAAATAATTGTTGTTTGTTACTTTATAGATGAAGTAATATTAATATTTAGTTAATATGTACAATTTAATAATCAAAATGGATAAAACTTGCTGGATGTGACTGGAAATTAAAAATTAAATTTTTTAGGAAAAGTTGCGAAATAAATTAATAAAAGTAGTGGTTTTTGAAGTGTTTGGAAATGTTACGCCAAAAATAAGGTACTTTGTGGAGTTTCCGGTGGTATGTAAGTATAAAAAAATTGGATTATTAAGAAAAATATATATTCCTAATAATTACATTTTCATGCGTGATATGAGCATTGTTTCAATATGTATTCGATTCATAAAAGTACCTAATCGATTCTGTCAATTATTAATCTAGATTTTGTTATAAATTGAAACGTTTGGCAAACATGCATATGTCTCACACAAAAATTGAAAAATCTTAGGTTAGAATCCCCAAAATTTGCACGTTTTTACTCACATTTCTCTGTTATTTATGCTTAATCCGCAAAGTTTTTGTTTGTTATTTCATATATACACTTATTTTCTACATAGTTCAATTTTTTTTTCGAAATTCGTATGTTCGTTACGTTATAATATTCGTTAATATATAATATTCGTTATAATAATACTACAACAACCCTGTATTTTAATTTAAAGTAAGAAAAGTTACTCACCTATCGACGATGTCCAGGCATCGGTCCCAGAATTTTTCTTTGGAGTCCTCTACGAGGAAGGGCTTGAGGGGATAGGAAATTTCGTTTCCCATATAAGAATAAGACAAGTAAAGGCAAGTAAGCACGACCGCTTGGAGGTCTTGTTCGCATTCAATGTCGGATTTCACTAGGTCCCTTACTAGCATATAGACGAAAACGACGTTGGCTGGATTGATGAAAGCCACATCCTGAAAATTAAAATAAATTTTGGAATCTGTTAATGAGAAAGAAAAGGCAATCGTGGTCTCGTCACAAAGTGGAGGGTACTAGTCTCGAGCGCGTGCAATGAAGATATTTCCTATATTTTATAACGCTGGGAGAGGTTTTCTCAACTGGTTAGAAATACTCCCACTTGTGATGTTCGAACTGGGTGTGCTCGGGCGCCAGTTTTTGTAGATTTTTGACTGGCCCACTTTCTGCCTGCCTTAGCGTCGATTTCAAATGCTCGCGGACGGTAGTGGGGACGCGATATGTTCACAGCAATATGAGATTTAACATAAAATCGATAATTATTTGCAAATCGCGGAAGTTTCAGAAAATAATAATTTAAAATCGGGGAACTTTAAGAACAAGGGTTAATCCAGTTAATTAAAAATAGGAATTAATTTTTAGTTCATTGCAACATGCATTTGAATTTAGTGTTATTGAGCTATACTCGCTGGCATCGTGTTCTCGTCTTATCTTTTCAAAAGAATCTCGGGATACCGCGATCAGATCGAGACTAGCATACTCGCGATTTTCTGATAGGTCGGCTGTTGTCTGGACAAATCCTGTTAGATTGTTGTCTGACTGGCATTTTTTTTAATACTATATTATAAATAAATACTCGTAATAGGCAGTAATTTAATGTCATGAATGTGTGTAGAATGCTGCAGAGTTGCCATATATGTAACTGCAATTATATTTATCACTGAAAAAGATCTTGTGACCCGTAACCCCCAAAAATTCATCCAAACTTTGGCGAAATGACATATGGCAGCCAGCATTCTTCACCCATCCAATTACTGACTAGAGAGTTAAAGTAATGCTATGAACGTAAACGTATACGTGAAAACTAGCATCTACGCATACGTATTCAAATATCCTTCATGTTCACGTCAACGTACATACGTAAGCTGACGGCTTCTGGCATATGCACGTAATACAATTAAAATAACTACTTTAATTGGGAAAGAAGAAATCCTAATATTAATTGTCATCTGTCATGGCACCTAAATGTCACGATGCGTTTTACAACTTCATCTCATATTTTGGACTTCTACCTTCTACATTAACATGATTTTTGTGCTTCGACTTTCACGTTTACGTTAACGTACTGAAAACACTTCAACTCTCTATTATTTCCGTATTCAACTGTGACCTAATTATTACGGGATGATAGTAGTGATGCTGACGCGGCCGGTTCTACTATTGTGCTGTCTGACTATTTTTTTTATATATTAACTTAAAGATTATAGATAATACAAGTTCGAACTAGTTTTACGATGCTTTAATTTTTGACAATCGAACTGTTTCCTCTAAAATATTTACAACATACTACATATAAACAAAAGAAAATACAATTTCCCTATCCCTATAACAGAATCGAAAATATGTCACAATCGCTGCTTGTTCTCAATAACCTTTTCAGTATCTTCGCTCCAAGTAGCATATTGTTCCTGTTTCTCATAGACTAAATAGCTATAGGTCAAGTAATAAAATTGACCCAATTAATCTGAAACATGAAACCCTTCTCGCTTGTCACTAAACCTTTTAGTTTTATAAGTGACCCGTAAAAAGTATTTCATTGGTGTTTCCGCTTGAATGCTCTTATTTTATTTACTTTGATTGATTAAACTGAATTGAGAATTGGTTAAATAAAGTGAGCTCAGTATCAACAATAAAAATCGATATACTTTTATTTATGGTTGCTGTTTCTGGCTGTACACAAAGAACTGATAAACAGTTATTTTGTGAGCTGTTCAGAATGCAAATTCTTACAGAAACTTTCTTAAAGAGAAAATACTCTGGTCTAGTCTTAGCTTATCCCCGAAAAAAAAATTATTTATTTCTCTTGGGACTATTAGTTTTTGTAATTATTTTAAGTATACAGTTGTTACTTGTTACACCAAGTTTAATGGTAATAGAGCTGGTATTAATATTAAATTGATTCTCTTTTATAATAATATAAAGCAGAAATCTAAACAAAAAATTGTCAGATTAAAGTATAAATAAAATTTAAATATAAAAATGCTGTTATTAATCATTTTAAATTGCAATTATTGAAAGTAGGGGCATCAAATGGTTGTGTATTATGTCCGCTACTCTACCTACTGTATACTAATGATATTACTAAGCTTACTCACACAGTAATACTTTTGGAAAAACCCTGAACAAGTCACTAGAAAACTCAAAAGATCTCTTGAACAAATTCACATTTAATGTAAGTGAAATATATTTTTTATTGATTGTAATTTAAAATTTAGGTATTCTTATATATAGGTACACACCGAAAACTTCCCATCCTGAATATCTTCCTTCCAGTAAAAATATGAAAAATCGTAAAATTTTATTTTCACCCACAATGAAAACTTTTAACACTCGTGGCTCAACCTCCTAGGAGAGGTAGATGTTATCTTTAAAATCTTAAATAGGAAAGGGATCAAGTGGCACATCAAAGGGCGTTTAATTCTCTTTCCAATGGTACTCTAATTTATTATCTTCGGATCAGCAGGTTCCGAAAAATTGCGTTTCAAAGTTGTAGAAGTTGGAACTTGCTTGCACTAAGATTCTCGGTTTTATCTGTATCTGTAACGTGTGGAGGGTGGGTAACTAAGCCCACTGTGCATCCTCCTAAGATGATAGGCCCCTTCTAGCTTGTGAGCCAGCCTACAGATTTAATGCAGTTAACAACGCCAAAAGGGGCTTTTCTTAAATCGGCCGGTGTTAGCCGATACTCGCCGAACACAAATCTTCTAATAAATGAGAGCGTCGAGCAATCGTAAAGGATATGCTCGATGGTCTCATATTCTTGTTCGCACTCTTTGGAGAAGGCGGATTCTGACATCCCCATGATATGGAGATGCTTCCGTACTTAGCAATGATCAGTGAGAATGCCTGTGACTGGGCGCATATTCTATCTAGTCATAGTCAAGTATTTGTTTGCTGCAGTATTGTCAGGATAACTTAAGAGCTCCCTGGCAACTCTGCAGTTTCTTGTTTCATCCCATCTATCCTTGAATTTCACAAGGGAATGTTCTTTAATTAGGTCCGTCACTACCGATTTTGTCAGGCCAATAGAAGGGCCAGGTCCAAAAAGTATTTGGTTGGCTGCTTTGTTGGCCAGTGAATCAGCAAGACGGTTACCTTTCGATGTAGCGTGACCTTTGATCCATCTTAAGGTGACCACATTGTTGATGGATACTTCGGCCAAAGCTTGGTGACATTCTAGAACTAACCCTGAGTAAATTCGTGGTCTGTTCAGAGTAAGTAGGTGCTTGTCTGCTATCTGTATAGATGAGCATGTTCCTTCCAATGATAATGTTTCTGCTGTGAGAATCCCCGTTAGCTCGAGATCAGTTTTATGTTAGCAGTTAAATAATAATTATTGTATTGTGTATCCTTTTAGCAAAAATGATTAAAAGATTTTACATTTAAAAGTAATTTAATAGTAAAATTTCGATGGCAATTAGACTGCATTTATCAAATGGTGGTTTTTTAACTCTTATCGTTTGAATTCTACAGATAACCTGCCCTTTTTACTATTTATATTTTTTTAAATCTTGAAATAGCGACTTTTGTCAAGTAAAATAATTGTTTAGCAAATTTTGACTATTTAGTATTAGTATTGTTGTTTTACTAATTAATGCAGATACTTCAATAGCTCTATGAAGATGATTTTGATAGAAGGATACAGTTTTGTGAAACCATGTCTGATCAAGTCAACGCCAACCCTAATCTTGTGCTGAATATCTGTTTCAGCAATGAATCTTCATTTTTTTTTTTTAATTGCAATGTTAATAAACAAAATTATCGGTACTGGAGTGACGAACATCCGCTTATTATTCGAGAAGGGCATACACAACGTTTGCAAAAAGTTAATGATTGGTGTGGTATTCTTGGAAATGCGATTATTGGTCCTTTATTTATCGAAGGAAACTTGACAGTCGATCTGTACCTTAATATGCTTGAAGAGACTATTGATCGTCTTATAACTCACGAGCTAGAAACTCAAACTGATGTAGAAGTTTTCAGGATGTCACTCTATAAATCAATATGTAAATGAGATGCGTTTTGTGGGAAGAAGCTCTCAGTGGCAATTTAGTTCTTCTGGCAGTCATTTGATTCAATCTTTTAGTAGCAAGTACTTCACTGTTTAGTTCTTGTACTAGTGGACTGTTTTGAAAGAGGTTCCTTTCTCTGCTTCTGTTATACTATGTTGTCCAATAATATAATTGATAAATTGTACTTTCAGATTTTTAAGGTGGCTTTTATTTGATATACTATAAGGCATCTGTTCTTATTCTGAACCGTTCTTTGGCCATATATGGGGTATTAATAAACTGACTTAAAATATGTATTGTTCCTCTTTCTGTAGCTATTGCCTATAATGACCTCTTCCAATTCTATTTTTTCTAGAAAACATACGATTTGGAGTGATTCCAAGTTAGGTAGACCGCCTTTGGATTCTGCAGTTCTAAACATTCAGTAGAGGCATGTTTTTGTTGAATTTAGAAAATTGTACAGGGTTTTTCATTATATTTTGACCACTACTTATTTTCAGTATTCTTGTGAACACAAAAAAAAAGTTTCAAGTAAAAGCTTTGTTGTTTTACCTCAACTTTTTCAGACACAGTATATAACCCATTGTAAACAATAAATTGACAACTTTTAATAAACAAACGACTGTTTCACTTGGAAACATCATTTTCAAAGCGCAATAAGTCACTAAATAGTTAAAATATTATATGTTTATAATCACGAAATGCAAGTCTACTTAAAATGATGAAAATATATAAGGTGTCCCATTAAAAAAAGAAATTCTATTTTGCCAATTATTATATTTTTAGACGGTACAGCTAAAACAACAAAGCTTTTACTTAATTTTTTTTTTGTGTTCCCAATAATATTGAAAATAAGTAGCGGTCAAAATATAATGAAAATCCCTGTACATTGTACATAAAGCGAATCTTGCTCCACTTATGCAAAT